AATAAAAACAGATATATTATCTATATATGTCTGCTAATATTATCACAGTAAATTAACTGCAATTCTTTTAAAAATAAACCATTATACTGTAATATTCTCATCTAGACTGAGACTGTCGATTTCATGTTGGTTCTACGAGAATTTTCTGTAGTCTGTTAGATACATCGTTCTAGACTAAATACTGTTATTATTTCTATATATTCTAAAAAACTAGACTGCATAAAAATAGTAGAAACAAATGGCTCTATGACTTGACCTGACTTGACTATATCTTCGAATTATAAGATACCTATTGAAATTAATTCAAATTGATTGACGTTTCGTCAAAGATATTGTAGACGACATACTGGTAGAAATTAATAACTGTCTTACTTTCATATTTTCAATTAATTACATGCCTAAAATTGTTATAAGAGACACTACATGTAAGTAACTGACAACTACAAAAATAGAATCGGTATCATTTCTAACCTAGGAATCTATTTCACAGATGACTGGAAATAAACTGCTCAGTACATTTAGAAGTGATGGATACGTAAGCCACTACTCAATAGTTGGAAAATATATAAGAGACTTTATTTACAAAGAATTTAAGTCGTAAGTGCCATAATGCGCTGAAAAGCTGCTATCAAATGTGCACTCGTATCGAAATCCGTGTAATCGAATACGCTCCGATTCATAACCATATTAAGCCGGGGCTGGTATCCGGTATCGATTATATCGAGTTGATACACATGTAGAGAACGGAACCGATAGCCAAATAAACTAGCAGACCGCATCGATTACCTGTCAGGGGCAGCCTTCCCTAGCCAAGTGACCGCCCCGCTGGACTTGTGAAGATCGTCTCCATTACACCAAACTAACTTAACTAAAACAAGATTATTTTGATAGGTACGTATCCTCCGCTTTTCAATCTCAATTTTGTAAATTTGTTTGTTTAGGGAGTATCACGCGGTCTCAGAAATAGTATATAAGTATACTTATGTCTTACAGTAAGTACTTTTAAGTAGTGTAAGTGAGACTCACAAACGTACTTATAGGCACAAACTCACGATTTGCGCGATGGACAGCAGTAAGTATTCCATAAAGATATACTGTACACTACCACTGTAACACTAGTGAGTAGAGTAGTAACTATAATATTATAGTTATATACATCAATAAGTAGGTACGATTCAATTCCATAAACTTATCGTTCAATCCGAGTAGGTGATTGAACCATGGCCTTTAGATTAGGTTTTATGTAGTCCACAAACACCCATACTGTCCATGCATTTGACAAGATGAATGATATGATGATGTTTAATTTCATCCTTCTGTCACCCCCGGTGTCTTGTAGGTCATTATCGTAAGTGAAACTATTATTCCGACATTATCCACAAAAGACAATATAAAATGAGATGGGAGATTTTATATAAATAGCGCAGGATAGAATACATTAGGTTTGGTGTATTATATACTTGTAAAACAAGGAAATTTATCAAAAAATAGTGTCATAGTAATTTTATTTCTTTTATGTTAACAGCCCACAGAGAACTTTGGCTAGATGAAACTTTTCTACAGTTTTAATAAGAGGGCCATTCATCGCGCTTTCTTTTACTTGAGAAATGGGATCCTTATCGCTAACCCGTGACACCAGAAAATTAAAAGTGCCCCGTCATGCTTCGCCTATCTTAGAAATAGGGTGACTATGCTGTTGTGGAGCTTAATTAATTGGCGGTTGACGGTTCGACCCCGGGTGGTCACATCTAACTATCGGCCCCAGGGACAACTTCACTCGCTTCGTTTCTGTCAAGCCGTCCTAAACAATAAGCTATCGCTTTATCTTAATCACTTAATTTCGGGTTTACTTAGACATGTATAAACATATATATGTATAGATGTTTAGAATCTACAAAACAGTACCTAAATATATTATAGGTCTTTATTATCAGTACAAAAGCATTTATAGATAGACGATTTCTAAATCAAATGAGTACATTATAACTATAATAAAATATAGATATAATGCTTTTTATTTACAAAGACTCTCATAGACTTTCTACAATCCAGATGTAGGAGCTAAATCATGTTTATTCGTGAATTACAGGTATAAATCACAATAAATGTATATTTTTTATTATTTTCATAATAAATTGATTTGCGAAATTTTCAAAGAGATTATAGGTACATATAATAGATTTAATAAGGAAGTATTCATTGTACAAACTACAAAAAGTTTTACAAATATTGTAAATGCGAAAGTTTGTGAGTAGGTATGGTTGGATGTACCTGTTTGTTACACTTTCACTCAAGATTACACATAGTCTATAAATTTGATATGGATGCATTTAATATTCTATATACTTATCACTTGGTCTCTTCAATTATCATAAAAAATTGTCAATAGGGTTTACTCTAGTATTAATACTAATTTTAAAGTCGGTTGCTACATAAAATAATCTTAATAACTATTACAGAGTTCTAGTAACTACCGATCTGTCGGCGTAATCAGATTAGTTAAATGGAAAATAGGCTTCTGCATTGTCGCGCGAAGTTACATAATAAATAGGTGTATCTACCAAATTATTCCAGCAGAAGTAGGTACCCGCAAATAATTATGTGGATTTTGGATCGAAAAGAAGGATGGTAAAACAAATCCTAATAAAATAATATATAAAATCTTCTAAAATTAGAAATTATTATATTAATTACAAAGCAATATTTACGTACTGCTCAGAATGTATTCAATCCTATCTTTGTCATCGTATCTACTTACAATTATAGAGAGACGACTTCTTAATGAGTTGCAGACACAGTCAGTGCAGGTAGATCTAGGGCTTAATTATGTAACGCAGTTGCCAACTATTCTCATTTGAATGTCAGCTGTACCTACTGTACAGTAGGTACAACTGATGTTTGTGTTTGTGTTCCTATACAAACCAAAATGGACGTTGTAAACTTAATTCTTAATAGGTTCATAGTTGCAAATATTTCGATTTGTAAAACTGTTTTAAATTAATCGAATAAAATCGATACATTATCCAGAAGAAGAATCTTTTTTCTATGTAATTTGAATGGCAAACTAGCTAAGGGCTAACCTAATGGTAAGTGGTAACCGTCAACTAGGTATATAAATAAAAATGAGTACAGACACCACTTTATCATGTGACTGTCGTGATTATACCCGGACTAAGATGTCATATCTTCTTTCCTGTCATTTCACTACCTTATCCGAAATACAGCTACTTGTCGGCTGAAATAAGTGACACTAAGGTAAAAACTAACATAGATTCCTAATTAAATTAACACGAAAGCAAGTGTGAAGGAAAGTGACGTGCTAGGGCACTTTCCTTCACAATTCCTTGATCCATATTTTATTCTCAATAGTAACTCAGTCTATCTTTAGTCTACGTTTTGTAACAAGACGTTATACATTTTTAACATATTATCCTAACTATGAGTTACAAGTTGGAAGAGATCATACAACATCAATTTAGAGCTTCAAAGAATAATTTACTTAAAGACCTCATTTGACCAAATTAATTGTATTGACAATATTAACAAATATATAACTTTAAGTAGTAGCTATTGCAGCCCATTTTTGCCCACTATGTTTCAATTGGTTCTTACTCTATGTTAGTTGCTGTTTTTAGCATAAATCATAAATCATTGTGTACCTAAACACAATCTAGTTAACGTATTTATTTGTATTTGGAATAACTAAATGAATAAATTAATTAAAAACAATAACAACCCTCAGAAACCGGGCAGTTAGATGACCGCCTTATTGATGCGAAAGTGTGCTGCGCCCACTCATGTCTGTGTATGACACATAATCGATAACCACCGAGACGTTGTACCCTACTTCGGCAACAGTGATATTTAGAAATGGAAATTAATGCATAACTGATAGACACTTTATAATTGTATGATATACTTAATTATATTTGTACGTAGTTAGAGAATAGCTATAGGGAATAGCTACCTATTCCTGTAGTTATAGTTATTTCTTCCTTGTAACACATAAGTACCTATGATACAAAGTAGTATTGTAGACAAGCGAACTGATACTTATATTTGGAGAGATTTTCTAAAACTATAGATCTTTGTGACTATTAACCGGTTATCACACAAAAGAGGTTCCTTTGTACCTCCAAAATAAAATTTCATTCGTTATTCCATCTTGTTATGATTCAGTGTTTTCAGCGAAGAGAAAAATTACAACGATATAAATATTAGGTATAGGATAAATAGAAGGATGGTACATCCAGAAGATATTATTTACAATTCAAATCGATCAATACCAGACCCCTTCAATAACAGACTTGAGCATGCAACTCAATTAGGTTTATACAAACACTAGTTAATACTCGCGACGTCATCTTCCCGAATTAGTGCTTCAAATTATGTGTTTTTACTGTTGTGATTACTTTTAAAACTATTATTGAAAAAAATATTGATTCCCTGTACAAACTTTCATCCGTCATATCTTCAAATTATTTATTACGAGCCGTTGTCCAACAAAAATCTAAATTAACATAAATTTTAAAAGGATTTAGTTTTCCGTTCAGCCGTTTAATAGCAACAATGCAACTAGAGCAACCTTAAGTGAAGTTGGGTTCTCTAGCTGTCTGTTTGATACATTAATAATAAATTTTAAAGGCTGTACAGTCTAAGCATCTTTGCCTGTTCTATCATTGAAAAGGAGATGGACGAATATATCTACTTTTATTCCTAAAAGTAGATTTTGAAAATAGTATAGGCACTTATAAATTTAGTCCAAAATATAAACTTTAAGCACATTAATATCTAGCTTTTATTTCTTACGTCTTGTAATATCTGTCTATAATACTACATATTGTATATATATAATCCTATATATTTTTTAAATTATTTGTTCATAATTTAATGTTATGCCGAACTCATGCCGATTATAAAGTTAGCATCCCAACAGACCATAGAGTAAGACTTCTGACAGTAACAAATGACAACTGACAATCTAGCGAGACCAAAGAGTTTAAGAGGAAAGTGAGACGCTCCGCTTGCCTCTGTAACATTTCGTATACGTTTAATAAGTTAACATTAATAATTCATCAAAATAATAATGAAATATTTAATACCTTACAATACATTGGGTCTAAATGAAATACTACCTTTATTTTGTGCAGTCTAAAGTTCTTGTATATAATAAACATAGTATAAACTTCAAAAATGGACCAACAATTCTCATTGTCCTGGAATAATTTTCACGGGAATCTGACTAAAGGATTCGCTGGTTTACTGGGTAAAGGCGAATTTGTCGACGTGACTATTGCAGTGGAAGGACATTTATTACAAGCACATAAAGTCATATTATCGATATGTTCACCATATTTCAAGAAAATGTTTCAGATCAATCCGTGTCAACATCCTATTGGTATATTTGTATATTTTAATGCTATTATAAATGTTTTGAATTGGGTTATTATTGTCATGTGTTTGTTTTGAGGTGAATTATAAATATATTCACATTCATAAAATATAGTATACTATTATGTATATAGATTTATAATTGTGATTATGCATTCATACACTTCTATTATAGTATATTATAGAGAATTATTGTACTGGTTGAGAGATCAAATTATGCATGATAAGATGAATTCAGGCAAATACATTATTATATTATTATATTGCATAAAGCTATGATAATATGTTAAATATTATTTTGCTTTATTGTTTTTCAATATGTGTATATGTACAGGTTTAGTATTTTCTTAAATAAAAATCTGTAAGCAACATTATGGAAGAGCTGAGAGAACTGTTACACTGTTACTTGCTTTATATTTGTATCTTCAAATATGTATCTGAATAAATTTTTGTGTGTAGATTTCAGTAGGTACCTGGATGATTTAAAAACATAATTGGACCTAGTAGGTGCCTAAGCTTGGCTGATTGCTGAGCTAAGTTTATTGCATTACCATCATATATGTATATGTTAGTAATGCAATCAACTTCTCTTTCTTAAGGTTAAAGTAACATACTCAAGTTATAAGTCTGATAAGTTGGTAATATATTTACAGTTGTTCTGAGAGATATTACACACAAGGCCATGAGAGACCTACTGCAGTTTATGTACCATGGAGAAGTCAGTGTAAAACGAGAAGATCTCACTAGTTTTATAAGTACTGCAGAAGTATTACAAATCAAAGGCCTGACAAACAAAGAGGTGAGGTTTTATTCATTACTAGCAGACCCGGCCATGAACCGCTGTAGCTAAGGTTCCTGAAAAAAACAATATTGCAACTATAAATTGAGATGTAAGCTATTTTATCTTTCAAGTTGGATCAACTTATTGATTTGAATCGGTTCAGTAATTCAGGAGTCGCATCATCGACAAACAATGTGATACATAATATTTTTATGTAAAGATTTGTATTGTTGTAATGACAAATGGGTGTAAATATGTTATTTATTTTGTAAGAGAAATTGCTATGAATGTTCATGATTTTTCCTTGTTACATTGTATGAAAATTTACTTTTATTAAAAATTAATTCAAAATATATATTACAAACCAGTCTAGGCCATGTCATCATAATTAAAAAAAAGCTTTTGGCATATTATAATTATATACTTTTATTATATATATTGCAATAACCAATATATTATATATACAATACAATATATTATATATATCAATATACTTGCAAGCAGTCATATAAATTAGTATTCAAGATAATATGTTAATAGTGAATGCATGAATATCATTTTTCAGACTGAAGAAGATAGTGAAAAAGAACAAGAAATACCAAAACATGTCACAGAAGGTAACATACCTGATGGAGATTCACATGTTTCTGACTCATATGATACAAATGTAAATGATGAAACCACACATAACAATCAACTAGATGTTTTGAAACATAGACAATTCATTGAAAGACTGCAAAAGTTCAGTAATTTAAAAAGAAAGTCTGAAGAGTTTATTCAAAAAAGTTATTACTCTGACATAATAAATCCAGAAAAGAGGCCTAAAACTAAAGAAAAGTCACCATACAGCCAACAAAATAATCACATGTTACAAAGTAACAATTACGAAAACTTGAAAAATTTATATGAAGACAGAAGTGATATTTCATCAACATACAATTCACAAGGACAAAATACTTGTAATTCTGATAGAGAAATAAATGATAACAGTAAAGAGCAATCCCCCTCTAACAACTCTATTGAATTGAAAACTGAATGTGATGACATGGATATCATAGTAACAGATCCTGCTGTATGCACAACTCCAAAGAGTTATGAAGGATCTAGGGAAGGCAAGAAAGATGCATCACTATCAGACTACCAGGCTCCACAAGACAGTAAGTGACTATTTTATTAACTCAATTTTAAATCTTGACTACACTTATTATATTGTTCATTTTTAGCATGTTAGTGCTAAACTTTAAATCCATAGATTTCTCATTTACTTTAAAATTTTGTACTTTTATTTATACATAATTTGCTTACTAATAATGCTTTACATCAGTCATCTGTACATAATAGAGATTGTGTTGAAAATGCAATCATTTATTAGTTCCTATTGAATATTATTTTCTTTTGCAAATCCTTTCTATTGTGAAAACACGATGGCATTTTCAACATTATTTATATTATAATCACCCACAATACTCTTAACAAATTGTGTAATGAAAATGCCCATCGTGATTTCAGATTGTAGCAGTCTAAACTCATTGTTCATCGACCTAAAAAACTTAGTGAATGGTAAGGTGACTAACAACATGTCGAGAACTAATATGAATGAAGAATTCTTGAGACCAACTATGGATCATCGTCTAATAACAATTCCTCAGAAGGAAGATGGAAAAAAGAAATATCCTCAACGCTCATGTCGACTTTGCTGGAAAATAGGGAAAAGAAGAGATACCCGATTCATGTGTAGTGCTTGCGAGCTACCATTTTGCAAGTCTCCATGCTTTGAGATCCATTTTAATGATGTTCTAAAAATATCTCAGTTGCAGGGCGATTATTATGCGACATAAAACTCTTTTCTTAGTTTTCCCATATTTCTTTTTCTACATTACATTATTATAAGATTGGTAGAAATCACAAGTGATAAAAAGCTAGTATTTAAAAAATATCTATATTTTATAAATGAACAAAACAAAGTGAATCATAGATTCTGATACGGTTCCGGGACCAAAAAAAATTTCAGTTAAAAAAAAGATATATTATATACATATATATATATGAACTTTATAAGAAGACACTATCTGATAGATTGAATATCTTTATTATAAGAATAAGATTTATAACTACATAGTTTAAAAAAAATACGATATAGGTATTTGCCATAATTTAATCATGAAGCACAATAAGTTAAGTATCCAACTGTGATAGTGGAAATCTGCTCTCAAGTGCCAATCAATAAATCTTTTTATATTATGTGCGGAAATTTATGAGTGATATATTTACTTATTTTTTTATTTTAGTCTGTGCCATGAGTTATTACCATATTATAGGTATAAACTCGCGCAGTTAAAGAACAGGATTAAAATGGCAGAGTACGGTGCTGTACGGTCAACTTACAAAGTACAAGCATTACATCAATTTCATTGTTGTTTTTTCTGTTTATTTAATGATAAATTAATATCACATTTATTACTAAATAATTAACATATAGGGTGATAATAATCTTACAAAATCGATAATAGTTTACAATATTTAATAATGGTGTCACCATTATTCAGTATTGTAAACTATTTTTAACTTTTAGTCGCTTAAACCATTGTACTCGCCTTAACCATTTTTTGTGCGAAAGTATTCAGCCACAGTATACAACGACAGATCAATAAAGATGCCACGCCTAATTCAGTTCTTTATCTGTGCAAGTATAGACTTTTTTATTGCTCATATTCTAGTCTATTTATTATATTAATGTAGGAATTTAATTCTGTACTTTAAAAATATTTGTATTACGTTGTAATTAGAATAGTGAGCTTGTTTGGCAATTGTAATATTTGTCCAATTTTTTTGCATTTGTGTCATGCATGACAATATTGTGAATCGACTTATTTTTTATGATCTCCAATTTTCTAGTATTAGTTTTAAACCAGTCTATGGAGATTACATTCCCATGAACAGAAAAGACAGCATTTATTTCTACTTTGTAATCGATAAATGGCTGTAATGGTATGAAATTGTAATTTTGAAAATTATTTTTATAAAATGCTTTGTGTGCCGTTATGATTCGTGTGATTTTGAATGAATATAATTTATAGGAATGTATTTTTATATCCATATTTAATTAAATGATTACAAACAAAATTTTTATTCTTATTGCCAAACCAACTTTATCAAATTCATTTGCATGTCTTGTATCTATTATAGCACAACTTATGCCGTTTTCAATTGCAGGTGCCCTATCACTAGTAGTGAATGGAACTTGTGAAAATCAACAGTTACCCAAGCGCTACAAATATATTTATAGTAGGAAGGGACATAAACAATTAGTCCATATGAACTTTGTGTACACTAAACATTCAACGACGCATGGTAAAACGTCATGGCGGTGTGTCCAGTATTTTTCATTAAATAGATGTCCAGCAACCATTGAAACAATAGATGCTATGATCTATGCAGTCAACCATCAACACAATCATGAAGATTGCTATGAAAAACTTTCTAGAAATAACATATACGAAATGAGTGTTTCACCAAAATAGATTTTTCACTGTATATATTATGTATAGAATTAAAAAAGTAAAGTTCCTATATTTATTTTTAATATCATAGCTACTGGTAACACTACAAATAGCTGCTAACGTTTCTTTCCTCAAAATATTTTTTGGGTCTATCTAGTCAGACAATGGATTTGTTTTATCTTAAGTATCTACTATATATGCAGGAACTGATAATTTATATGAAAATCAGTAATTAATTTTAATAATTTATTATATATACATTTACATATATTGAAAGTTATCTCTTAATGCATTTGGGTGCAGCTGTACTTTTTGCAGCAAGTAAAGCTGCCATCCTTTTTCGTGGTCTGTGTTTTTTACTGAATCCAACACCTGCAAAGGTAAAATAAATAATTTAAATTTATTGTAGTAAGCATTTCATTTTAATCTATATTTTTTTTGTGGTATGATTAATATATCTAAATTATTAACTTAAGTCTCAACATTTGATAATTATAACATATTTCTAAAGGAGGAGGAGAGGGATTGTTAATAATGAAAATAGAGTCCCTATTGCTAAACTTACATAGATACCACATAAGATCTATCTTCATGTGGTTCCTATTCAAAACCATTGTGGGTTAATTCCTAATTAATTTACCATCAATAGTTTATATAACCTAACTTCATCTTCATCCTCTGCTGGTGGACTCCAAATTCACCTCACAAAATAGCCTTACAAGTTATTTGTGACTGCTCCAAGAATTGCTTCAAACAAATTAACAAACAGGTATTGAGTATATTTTGTCAAATTAGATGTTCTTCTGCGAAATCTTTACTAATTATATAATTTTATTAAATTGCACTACTATACATATACATGTGTGAGACCATACAGTACATTCAGTGCGGAAATCTGACCACCGCTACTAGATGCGTCACATCAGTGGTCAAACTCGATCGTTATGGGATTGGCGAATTGATGATGGTGTTAGCAGGTGTAAGGAGTACTATAATAAAACTTTGTGATATGACACTTCTGGTGTCTATTCAACAAAAGTAATGTTATAAAATATTTATAATTAATATAAATATAAAAGTACGCTTACGAATATCTATGTCTGGTGGTTTCTCTTTTAATCCAAAAGATTTCGCAACAGCATTCATGTCTATAGTCAATACATTGAAAATATGTTTGTATTTCTTTACTTCTAGTGCTCGAATGTACCCTTCGAAGGCTTCAACTGCTAATTGGTGGAATTTTTCATTAACCAACGCTGCGTCTAACTGAAATAGAAAAAACTAAGTAATGGGGCCATCCATAAATTACGTCATACGCTAAGGCAGAATGCGCGAACAAAGTGTGAAATTATATAACAATACTCTTTTTTTTATAATATATGATAATGAAATGCCAAACCCGCTAACAGTTTACGCTGGCGCGGCACCAGTGCTGAATGGTACGACAAGGATGAAATCAGGTTAGTCAGCCCATCGTAGTGAACTGACCATAATTAACCACAATGTTTTCCACCGCGTGGAGGTCGATCTTTGACTTTGTGTTTGTGTAAAAATAATGAAATCAAAGACTGCTCTAACCCATCTAGGAGGAGTACTAGATTTTCGGATATCGCCATTCAATGTTAGGGGCCGTTCAAGTATTACGTAAGCACTATAGGGGGGCGGGGGGTCTTTTCTTTGCTTATTTTGGATGACATGGGGGTAGGGGAGTCTGGATGATTATTGCGTCATCGGTAGGTATTTACTTTTTTACACGAATGGCAACCATTACATTGTCTTTGCTACAAAAAAACAATACTTTAATTAGCTTATTTTTGCTGACAAGGGGGATGGGGATAAATAATTGTAATAAATCTGCTTACGCAATACTTGAACGGCCCCTTAGCATTAAAACACGAAACTTTAATTATTCAAATGTGATCAATGGCACGGGAAGGGGTTAAATTTACTGAAAATATTGTGACCCAATTTATGGACCCCGAAATCCTTGACAAAATACTGCCATGTAAAATAAGATAGAAAATACATTATTACACTTAGTACAATTGAACTCAACTAGTTCAATTTTGTAATAATTAGTCATACCTTAGGTTGTAAATTATAATAATTATCCCAAGATTCATATTTGTCTAAAAAAACTTTTGCATCTTGCAGATGGCTGATAAATTCTTTTTCCTCTGGCCTTAGCAATAACACAGCATTACCAGATGCACCCATTCCTCTTGCAGTACGACCAACTCTATGAATATATTCCTAAAGACAAAAAAATAGAGTGAATATTATTTCAATTACACATATACGGTATATAACAAATAATTTGTGGTAATAAAGTTATACACTCAATAACAAAGTTGTACATAACATTTCCTTACATTTGTATCCGATGGTGGATCAAACTGGACTATCCAATCTACGGCTGGTATATCTAATCCCCTAGCAGCCAAGTCAGTAGTAAAAAGCGTGATCTTCTCTGCGTTGTAAAAGTTTGATATTGTTGTGGTTCTATCAACTTGACTCATTTTGCCCTGAAGCACAGATAACATAATATTACATACCTGAAGTAAAGAATATATATATATAAAGTGATCGCTGAAATTTATTTATATTTTGAGAATCGTTAATGTGGACTGTTTGTATTATCACTTATTATAGATGTTTCATCAACGACCAGATATATTCGAAAACAGTATTATATGACAATGCAATAAAAACAAAACGAACAATAAAAACGAACGAAAAATGTCTATGTGGTTAATTTATATGCGGTCTAAGTGGGAGCGAGAGCTATACCAGTGAAATCATTATACAATCTAAAAGATCATGGCCTGTATAGATATGCAATAAGTTCTATACTAGAACTAGAAGCAGCACTAGCAGGTTCCTACTAGATATGTTTGGACAGGGAGAGACACGAGCAATGAAGGCAAGTGTTCATGTACGGCAGCAAAGGGGCCCCTTGAACCTATATCCGGGTCACTAGTCCCGAGAACTAAGAGTTTCCCTCTTTGCAACATGATGCACTTTGCACTGCCCACACGGTGACTTCATGGAAAACTAAGAAGATCATGCATTATGTTTTAGGGAATACGTGGAATTGTTTTATTTGCAATAGAATTTTGTAGACAATGAATGCCTACACCAGTTAGTAAATAATATACATTGAACTTACATGAATGCACAGAACCGCCAAATTACAACAGTTTGCAAAAAAATCGTGATGAAATTCAGCAGACTTACAGCTAGAGAAGAACACCATAACTTTTTGATTTTTTGTTTTTTTCAACAATTTGTGTAACCACCACATTCTATATTCCGTTTCGCATATTACATATCTGAAATGAAATTGATGTGTAACTTAAACACAGTTTATTAACTTAAAAAGGGAAAATTCATGTCTATTGTTTCATATGCAACTAAAGGTCCTCATACATTTCCTATAAGAGTTGGATGGCCGATGTGACAAAATAATTTGGTTGACTCATTGTTTACTATACCCAACCCTCATTGGAAATGTGCTAATTGAACAATGTCAGCACTGGCTGACTGGAACGGATAATGTAAGTACAAGTGAAATAGAGTACTTTCACCCATTCACCCATCTGCAGTATATCAAGCATAATTGATTTGGATATATTTAGTTGCAATTTCTTACCCTTGTTTTAATCCATCTACAGTAGCTTTTAAATTATCTTCATCAGTGTTTATTGTTTGAACATCTTCTTTCATTGCAGTCTCGACTAAGGCATCAGTTGTCTCTGAATGTGTTGCACTAAATAACATTGTCTGCCTGCCCTCTGCCAAAGATGTATTAAAATAGTTTTTCTTATTTAAATAAAATGTGATATTTAATAAAAACCTGCTATAAACTAACTAGCTGATATCAGATAGACAAAAGAAGAAATAAACTTTTAGTTATATAGTTTAAAATCAGAATTTACAAAACAATTATAAAAAAATACATTTTCTGTCAATAACTGCTTTTATATTTTCAGTTAAATATGAGTAATTTTTCATTAGTTAAAAATAAAAAGTATTAAAGACGCTGTACATTATTATTAACAAATAAAGATTCACTCACTTGGTAATCTATTAATTATTTGTTTAAGATCCTCTTCGAAACCATATTGGAATATTTTGTCAGCCTCATCTAATACCAAGCATTTAACTAGTTCGTAATTAAACTCTTTTGTTCGCATATGGTCAAATAATCTTCCTGGAGTAGCAACCACAATATGAACTCCTGAATAACAGAAAACTCTGATTATATATTTTAATTTATTTTATTAGGTACTCTGAAAGGTAAGTAAGCTAATAATCCACTTGATGGTAAGTTTGTCACCTACCTACTGATCACCCTGAACATGAACAGTAGTTCCAATTTCAAATAGAAATAATAATGTGTGAGTCTTTTAGTTTTAAGGTTAAAGGCCACATATGGCAAAAATCAATGGGAGCAACTCCAAATGACATTAATATAAAGCATTCATTAATTTAGAGACACATTTTTGTAATAAAACATATTATTCATAAATCACTAAATAAATAAATTAAAAATATATTTTTAAAACCCTGTATCTAATCCTAATCATCACTTCATTGTTGAGCCTAAAGTTATTGTTAAAAATAGTACCTTGTGAAAGCACTGCACTCTGTTTCTTTCTGCTCTCTCCACCAATGACCAAAGCTGATGTGATTGTTCCATGATAAACCATAAGGTCTTGTAATACTGTGTAGGACTGCATAGCTAATTCTCTTGTGGGAGATATTATAATGCAATAAGTGCCTAAAAAAAGAAGTTATCTGTTTTGTCACATGTTAGGATGGAGGGAGAGAACCCCAAAAAGAGTGCCATTATGTGACAAGAGGTCGGAGGTATTCTACATGTTGTAATGTCACATTTCAAAATCTAAAATATGATATATATATAAAGGATTGAATTACTTATATGTACAATAAAGAATGAATTAATGTATTCTCATTCTTTTACTAATTTGCTAAAACCTGTGTAACTTTAGGCTAACCTCAGATTTAAATATAAATAAAATACAGAGAACTACACAATTTTTTTTTCTATAATAGTTTAAGGTTGTGTGCAAACAATAAAATTGCAATCTTTAGTATTAATTTTATCTCTATATTCAATCTATTCTGAAGTGCAGTAGAACTACTCTGTATCAAAATTTTGCTATAAATATTTATGTTCTGCTATACTCTGCTTACTCTATTATTCAAGTAGAAGAAAAGGTATTTTTTATTTTTCATGCCATCTTGGACTGTTCATATAAAGGATCTAAAGAGAGGTTTTTGGTAAAACTCTAATGTTTTTATGGTTAGATGTAAATAATGTGATTATACAAAGACATACTAGTTTAAAGAAAATCTGACTATTATGAATTATGAAACATTGATATTAGTTGACAAAGTTTAATTAGTTATTGTAGTAAAAATCATGTTTTGTATAGAGAGGAGTAAAAGAAATGCAGCCTTAATAAATTATTAATTACCTTGTTTTTCTTGGTCCAGTAAACAATGAAGAACAACCTCAATCACAGGAATCAAAAACGCTAAAGTTTTTCCCGAGCCAGTTTTCGCAGTAGCTACTAAATCAGTTCCGTCCAAAGCCTTAGGTAAAACTACCGACTGAATATCCGTCATATATTTAAATCCCATATCTTTTATAGCCTTTAGTGTGGTTGGAGATATTTTTTCTTTCAAAGTTTTGAATTTCGTGCCACGCTGTAATTTTTCGGTCTCTTCCATTTTTGTAAAAAAATAAATGTAATACTCTACGAAAGGCTGCGATTGTCCCTTGACTTTAGAACCATTATGATAAAAAATCTTGAATTAATTATTTTATTCATTAAATCTATTTAACAATAATTGCCGTAAACTATCATATTTCTTTCTACGAACTGGATTATTGACAGTTATTTTTATACATTTTTCTAATCTGTGCACTTGTTTGTACTGACAGTCAGTCAATTATGCCGCTACCGCACGGTGACAGTTGCTTATCAATATACTAAAGTACTCTGTAACAATGACAATAAGAAATGACTTGGCTGTATGAGCTGAATTATTTTGCCTATCCCTAAGATAGCAAAAATCGAACCAAAAAAATGTATACCTTTTTTTTTATTATGGTCATAAAACACGAATAAAAAACAAAAAATCTATTTTTTATACACTACTTATTGCACATTAGTCATATCTGTCAGGCAGGTGTTGGCCTTCAGCCGCTCCATAAGTCCTTCCGCGGGTTTGGAGTGCCATTTACACTCCCCCCTAACGTCCGGTGAAGCTGTAAAGGGCAATTGCGGCCAACAGCATTAGAGTAGTCCGAAAAAAACAAAAGTCTTTTTTTACTTATTTCTTTATTAGGATTTGGCTCAGCCACTTACGTGCTATTTCAAAACCTATATATTAGTTAATATATAAACGTTGTCATTATCGACTATTAAATGAAGATTTCTTTCGTGAAATGTACGTTATACGCCATAATTTTTGCTGTCATTTATGATTAGTCTAGAAATCACTCCTTGTGGTGATAAATTATAACGACCTTACTATGTGAAAATGCAATGAAAATCCGCAAGTACTACAAAAATTAATAAATTTAATGTCTGAAAATAAATTACGTCCGATTTTTTATTTATATATGTGAAAATTGGCACGGACATTTTATAAAAGATATAATTGATTAATATACTTAAGAATGATAAAACTAATTACTAGGTAGCTCTGCTTTTTGGTCGTTCGAATAGGACGAACTGTTTTATGACGATATTATTTTATAATTCTAAAAACAATAGCATAACAAAAAAATCGTAATCTATTAATTGGCTGTATGGACTGAGTCCTATTGCCATCCCTGCTACTGGGAAAAAAGCAAACAAAAAAAATCTAACGTTCACAGTCCACTGTGCTCGTAATTTAAAATTTTTATATAAGTGAAGTTTTGTTATCTTTAATTTTTTACTGTAATAAATAAAATAGTAATTTATTATTTTCATCACGTTGTATTCTATAGTATCGTAATTAAGTAGATTAGTTTTATATTAATCATCTATCGTGTGTACTAAAATTCTAAAGTAATCAAACATTGTTTTGTTGTTTTTCCTACATTAAAACAAACATGATTTACGGACGTGTTCATCGGTTACTTTTGCGTTCAATAATAAGTCAAGGCGTAATATCTTTGATGGAAGCTGAGCGAGTTGTTAATGCAGGTACGAACTATGTACTAAAATGTAACTATCAGTTATTCAGTTTCTTATCATTACGTATGCAAATTCCTTTTTTCAGTGAATGTTATGTAGACCAACTTTGAAGTGCTTACTAGAATTCTTCAAGTTATTGAGTCATACTTCATGTTTATGCACATGTTTCTGTAGCTCTGTAGATGCAGTATGTGGGTCTTTATTACATAAAAGCACTGCTGTAATATCTGTATATGTTGCTATAGCTTCCCACTTTTGAGAAGTGGGAAGGTCTAATATTATGTGTACAGTATGGAGCGTAGGATAGAATCCTGTGATACTCAGCTTTTATTTTATTATATTTTTATCTTATTATCTTTTATTATATTACTTTTACTAATAATCTGACAAGGAGTCTTCATATTTGACATGAAATATCCTATGTTTTATATAGGACTTTAAGAGTGTAAATGTGTTTGGCAATGAGATTTTTAGTTTATAGAAAAGCCTCTGTGTCATACATGGTCAAATGCTCGTTGTACATCCAAAAATACTCCTGAGCAGTATTATTTTCTCTACAGGAATAATATCTATTATAGAAATATTTAATAATGAAAAAATGTTATACTGTGTTGTGATTTTAGTATATACAATTATACAGATAATATTAATTTATTACAGATAGTCATAAAACATTAGTTATTATATGTTTTTATGCTATATTATTATTACTATAATCTAATATTTGATATTTGTTGGCATCTGCGGTTTAGCATATCACTTTACTTCGGATGGTTGCGGGTTGGATTTCTTGCATGTTGTAAATATTTGTATTCATGAGTATGATAATTTGCAGCCTGGGTATTTTCTTTCTACAATATGTATGGTGTAGTAAGTGTAAGTGTAGTTACAAAAATAAGTATCTATGTATTTATATCTGATATGTAGTACCCATAACACAAGCTCTCTTACCATGGAACTAGATGATTGGGTTAATTGTTCAGCATTATTTATTTCTTTATTATTAGATATTACTATATAATAAAAATTAAACAACTGTGTTTTCAGACCAACAAGATAAATCAATAGAAGATTTGGTGAAGGAGATTAATAATGAGATAAGGCCTTTTCAACAAATACTGAAAATTACAAGGGATGAACTTACAAATGAGGATGTTATTGTATTCTTATCATTGGGTTATGATGATGCAACTAAAGCACAGAATGTATTCTCAGCAACAGAGTTAGAATACTTTAGGGTTCTTATTGAGCAGATTATGACAACAGAGGCTAGACAGATTACCAATATACATGCCATGAATTTAGTAGGAAGTATGAAATCATCCTTTACCAAGACAGATGCACAGGTAAACATATTATGATAGATAGAGTATATTATCTATCATTATTGTCTTTTATGCCTTTGTAAATCATTAATTACATTTGAATAAGAATTTGGTGATTTTAGTACTATATTTACCTCATGAAGCATCTTACATAAAATTGCACATACATATATCAATTGAAATGTACATTTTGAGGGATTTATATCTACTATTTATGTAATCAAATAATATAGTCCAAATAAAGTTACAGGCCAAAGATAGTTTTAATGGTATATGCACAGATGAAATATCTTGCATTTAAAAGTGTGTTGGAGATATTAACTATATGTACTAATATACACTATGTTAAAATTTCAGAAACTTCTTAATACATGGTGCCGTATGCGATATCTTGACAAAGATGATAAGAATTATGCTTTGGGGGTAAGAGCTATCCATGAGTTTGAAAGCTATTTTCGCCAAAATATGCCAGATGCTGTTGAAGATTGTTGTTTATGTAAACAAATAGTTCTAAGAGTGAGTATTACATATATATATATAAGAATAGTATTACAAAGTAGTAATGAAAAGGCTTCTTTTTTGATATTATAGTTCTATCTTTCTCTCACATTGGCATTATTTATCTGCTACTGTATCTAATTGCTAACAAGCATAGTCCTCCAACTGTCTATAGTGTTATCCCTATTATTATCTTGTTAAAGTGCCACCTTCCACTGCTTTGATCCTTTTAACATCCCTTTTTAGAATGGGATTTAAAAAGGTCTATTAATCTACTTACATTTTTTATGTACATGTACTTTAAAATTAATAACCTTTCTATATTTTATTAATCATTCTATAGTACATGTACATAAAAAATGATATATACATATATTATTAATTTTTTTTTTATTTACTTATATTTTCAGGGTTTCAATTGTCCTTCATGTGGTTATGCTGTTCATAACCGATGTCTCAATAAGTATTTGGAAAAAGTTGAGAAGTGGCCTTGCTGCAAGACAGATTTTGATCTTTCACAGTTAGAACAGCTACGCAATGCTGATAAGTATGTGTTTAATTTAAAGAATAAATTTTATATAATAAATTCTAGTAATAAATGTGTTTTCTTCATTGTAATGTTGTCAAACAAGCATGGCCTTATTATAAATAAAAAGAACTGAGATAAACATAATAATAGTATAATCTAACTTACATATTACCACAAAGTTTTTGTTATCACAAATCTACAAATAATGCAAAGTATTTTCTGTTTTTCTTAGTCATGCTCTTAAAATTTTAAACAGCCTACACATGAGTGTAGGACAATAAGATCAGGGGCAATACCGAGCGATAGCAATATCGAAATGGTAACGAGCGCACTGGATTGCTTCTTAAATTGCCTTAATTTTAAATTAATCAAGCCGACATCTCATAGTGAACTTGTAAAGTCGATTTTAACCCTACACTACTAGCATATTGCCCTTTATTGTGGGTGTTTGACGTGTGTGACGTTTAAGGACATAAGAGTCATTTAAAACGTGTGAAAATATTGTTTAAATCTATAATATAAAAATGAATCGCTAAAAGTGTTGGTAATTTTATTAATCTCGAGAACTACTGATGATACATATATTTCGATAATTCTTTTTTTAGAATATTCCTTGAGGTACGAGGATGGTTCTTACGGAGGCTGATAAAAACTCAAAAGGCTCCTGTCGGCCAATACAACATGCAGGACATTTTAATGCACTTACTATTGATGAAGTTGCCATTATTCACATAAAGAATATCATGTATCATAAAGTACTACAATAAAAATAAAACTTCATTTCGAACAAGTAAAAAGAAAATAAAATATATTAAGTTGGTATCGTAACAAAAATATGAAATTGTAATTTCTTATTGACTATTAAAATAATTTTAGTTGCTAAATAATTTTATTTTTTGATATAATGTAATTATTGACTTAATAACTTTCTTTTATCTTACTAGCAGACCCGGCGTACTGAATAGCAGAATAAGTATTAAATAAACTAATAAATTAGAGAATCTACTGTTAGGCGTTACGAAGTACGTCGGGTCAGCTAGTATTTAATATTAATAACCTGATCATTTCAGTTCCAGACTGTCACATACACAGCAAATGCAAACACAACATTCAGCAGAATATAACACTACAGCCGAACTAACACAGGCAACCACCACAGATGTAGACTTGACACAGCAAAGTAGTGATCCTGAAGACATTATACCAGAGATTTCACAGAGAATCAATAGAAAGAGGAAGCACCGTGAGTGAATATATAAAAATACTTATTTGAGACTGTTAATAATTTGTATGTACATTTTTCTTGAAATATACCAATATTTTATTACGATTGTTTTAAATATGCAATATTACTTGTATTATGCAGTATCTATTTATAGTATGTTTTAAATCTTAAGCCATAAATCTAATTGTGATATATTGATTAAAAATAAAATTACATTTCAAATATTTATTTTCATAATTCAAGTAAGCATTATAATTATTCAGGTAAAATTATGTTGCCAAATACAAATTTTCAACTTTACGCTGCACTATCTTTGCAGATTTAGGGTAGAACTCTAATAAATACTTCCATTGATTTAACTTCAAGTAAACTATATCGACGACAGTGCGTGCGCGAAATGAGAAATGGTGGGTGACTCCAACAAATAAGCCCTGTAAATTGAGTAATAGTAATGTTATTAAGAAATAATTATAAGGATATAGATATCATAGAATAAACAAATATAGCTGATAATCGTGGGATCGATTCTTGCGCGACACAAACATTTTTTTTTCACCAGTATGGGACTTATATGCTTGGGACCCAATGGAGGTTTGAGATGCCTTGTCTATACCATATAGTAGTAATAAACGTCCCTTTATTTAAGCTACTCCCAAAGATGTTAAAAACACATGTAGAACAGAAGAAAAAAAAAGGCATTCACAATTGATAATGACAACAAGTACATTTTATATGGACACATTTGGATGAGAATATTGTTATCAGTTAAAAACATTTGGTTAACCAAAAATGAGTGACATTGCTAGCCTGACATTAATTAATAAAATATTGCTAGGTTATATAGTCTGTTAAACTAATTTCTATAATATTCAAATTTATTGGAAATTTCGATCCCTAGTTATTTTTAATTTACATTTATGAAAACGCATTAGTTACAGTTTAGTTTCATTACCTGAGCTATACCAAAGCTGTCTTCTGGTCCAAGTATATCATATATAGATTCAGTTAAATTCGGATGTACAGTTAAAACTTCAACCTGTAAAGGAGATAATATAAAAATCCTGTACCCGCGGTTTCACTCGCGTGATTTTATAGCCTATATATTATTCTGATGTATAAGCTACATTGCTGTAAAGTTTAAATTCCGTTCAATAGTTTTTGCGTGAAAGAGTAACAAACATCAATCGATACTCAAAAACTATATTAATAATAGATATGTTAAAGTTACTTGCTTATGATATATAGGCTGACTGACTATGGCAAAACTATAGTACACACTTTGTACGTAATCATTATGTCTATTCGATTAATAGAGTCGGGATTTTAAATATTATTATAATGATGTTATAGTTTGTATGCATATAAAGAAATTCATAGATTGTTTGTTGTTTTATGGGTGTTAATCCACTTGCCTGCACTAACGGTTTACCCTGGCGAGGCATCAGTGCAGGATGATAAAATGCTAAAAGGATGATAAAAACCATCTTGGCAAATGACAATTTACCACGATGGTTTCTAGGAGGATATCAACATAACATGGTACATTGCTAAGAATTGGGTTATTAATCCACATTACTAACAAACCTAACCTAACCTTCCCTCTTAATTCCCAGATAAGATAGCCTGTATTAATATATTTACATTGCACCAGCTCTTTGTTGCTTTACGTTGATAAGTGGTTATTGGTCAAAAAGAATAAGACACCAAAATATTACTATTTCCTTCTATGCTCTGCTGTACCATGGTAGCCTTTGGTACCTACTCTGTCTTAGAGTGTATGATGATTAATAGACTCCGGCAATGGATTGGATTCTACATCAGATATATTATTCTTCTTATTCGATACGCTCTTGACAGTTCGGTCGTGGTCATTATGTAGTAGAGAGAAAGGCAGATGTCAACCGTCTTGAGTGGACCGCATACTCCTGCTTACCAGGTATATTGTACCTGATTTAATTAGTACTCTTATTATTAGCATAACTTGTACTTACCTCTCCTCTGTGAATAAAGTAGATACATTGATCAGAATCGCCGCATTGCACGATGTAGTTTCCAGGAAAAAATACACAGTGCCGCATCCACATGACTAACATTCTCCGAAAATCGTCGTCGGTCTTACTGAATATTATAGAGTCTCGAATGTGACATCCGTATACAGCTTGCATCACTTGACAACGAAGTCGGAACGGTAGATTGTACACTAACTCTGGTATCTAAATGTTGAGTTAATGTTTAATGACTTTCGATTCATGCTATATAATATATACATAATAATTGAAAAATTTTAAAAATTCTCTTGAGAACAAAATATCCTAAAATCGTATCATACAAAGTAATACAGTTCATTAATTGTATCAGAATTTGCATATCAGGAGTCCTTATGAAGTATTATAATTTAAAATAATTACTGTATATAGCTGAATGTTTTGTTTGTTAAAGCCGAGCAAAAAAGAAAAACGTTAGCTGTATGGACACAGTTCCCTTTGCCTTTTTCCTAGAGGATAAATAGAACCAAAAAAAGTAATAGCGCATATGGTCGACAAAGCGGCGGCTTATATGTATATATAATGGTGGTCGATATGGACGAAGTGCGGCCGACATTTTACTTAAATTAGACAGTATATAATATTTTATAATATTTGTGTAATTATGTAGTAGTTACCTGTCTTCCTTGTTGCCTATTCCATAATTCTCTAACATAATCCCACATTTTGTTCATTTGATGATCACTAAGATCCATATCCCGGAGACCGTCTCTGAGTTCACTGATACCATAATCGTATGCTATACGAGAAGACGAGTGGGCGGTAATCATTGCGGACATTTCTGATATAAGAAGCCCTAAATGATATTTAAAATTAAATTACTACATTTTAGACTGTTGTTTCATGAGGTGAGTTTTATGTATTATATATTTTTTCTAATCTATTTCACACCCTCTATTAATAACTTATCAATAGTTTAGTCGTAATAAGCAAACAAACATACGTGCTTTCGAATCTATGAATGTCGAATGGATAATGTTTTATAACTTGCTTTTTCACAAGCGCAGGTGGGTGCATCATTAATGAAATCTGTTGAATATATATCCTATTCTATCCTATAGCCTATAGCTATGCAAAGGTATGCGTATTTATAATATTATACTTTGAGGATGGATATGCTGGAATAAGTTATTGATATAGGTGGTACCTGTACAGAATTTAATTATTATTATGACAATAATAGTCTCGATGACCTCAAAATCATTTTGTGATGATACGTCACCTGTACCGGTGATTGTTAGTAAGTTAATCATGTACCATAAAGCAGCGATGTACAAAGAGAAATAATTGGCCTGAAAGTGATAAGATCAGTTAGGGTCTTATACATAATTTACACTGGAGAGGTACGCAAGCTGCTTACCATTTACCACCGACTGATGGTAAGTGCTAATTGTCACCTTAGATATATATGAAGAATAGCACAGACATCACGTTATCATGTGACGATCGTAGTACTGCACTACAATGTTATGCCTCTCGTATATGTATTTATACATATTTAATACTTACATACATTTTTAAGGAGAGCAGCACTAAGCCTTCAGAATATTTTTAAGGTAAGTACGAGTTTGTTCGAATATTCATATCAACTCACAATAATTTTATATACCTATCTTAATTTCTTATATCAATTTTCTCAGCAAACATTACCTGAATATATTGAGTTCGTAAATTAAGTTCATCTTTTGACATCCAATTAGCAGAAGTACAATGTACCGGGGTTAAACAGGAGAGTTTAAAAAATAAGCAAGCATTTACATGTGAGAGTATAGATGCCCATATTGCGATAGTCCTGAAAATAAGTTTTTATATATTATTTTCTACTATTTAATCAATTATTTTATGAATTTTCATAGTCAAAATCAGGATAATATTCAGATCCTGACATGAGTGTTAATTCACGAAATGTTCAACAAAAAAACTGCTGTAATCAGGGATAAACCCTAGCGAACCCTCAATAAAAATATAAAAAAAAATTATACGGCTTTGGCGGAGGAAAAATCTTTATCTTCTAGATCCCATTGACTTAGACTTAAAAGGGGTAATATGTTTTGCTCTATCCGCATAATTCGACAGGACGCCCATCTGAGAATAGATAGGCAATGAGCCCTTTTTAAAATTAAAAAAAAAATATTGTCTTACGTTAACTTAAAAAACAAGTTTGCGGAACCAATACTTATTTTTCTATGAGTTCTATATGTGAATAGATATGAAATCCTGAATAGTTGTGGAGATCTCATATAACAAAATAAAACAAGTTTCATTTGCGGTTTCAATGTTAACGCGTAGGCCAAGTAACATAGTGGAATGTTGGCTAAAAAATCACGTCTTCGTAGAAATACCTTAGAGAAATACCTGTAAATAAAGATTTAATTAAATAGGACATTTTAGGATACATTAAAGAAAATTTTGGTGTTAAAAGTGAACTTCATTTATAAGTAGAATAGGTTAAGAAATAGCAATTAAGTAAATATAAAACGAACTCGGCTGTTTTTGTATTTTGTTATCGTATATATTCGTTTCTCTTCTATTTCTTCTAAATCAGGCAATTGATTTTAATACAGTTTTCATTTCATGAATTCTTCTAGAATTATTATATACATTATGCATTAATTCGGAACTGAGGTGGGTCGCTAGTCTATATGTAAAGAAACATGTCCTGCCTGACGGGTTCCGCGTGGGCAAAACGGAGGTAAACAGCTAATATAGGTACATGTAAAACTGATGTAGGTTCATTGTTTACCTATTTGGAATCTAATTTATGGCGTACTCTGAGTGTAGGTACTCACATTTTCCTTACTTTCTTTGGATTTAAAATATAGTCTCCATATCTGTTCATATATCCACTATGTATATCCAAGAAAATTTTATAGAAGAAAATTATATCGATGAAAACGCATATGTAGAAAAAGTATGGAATGGACATAAATGCCATCTGATAGATAAGAGCCATAAAATCTATGTACGAAAGAAACAATATGACGTATTCTGAAAGAGATGGACGTATGAAAAGTATTTTGATTTATAATAGATAAATCAACATGTTATTATCAGAGTGGAGATACACTCTGATAATAATTAATTACCCATAAAAGTAACCAATTTGCAGTCCGGGATTACGCTGCTCCGAAACCACCTGAAAATATTGTTATAATATAGTGATATAATATACCAATATAATATAGTGAATAGCCTTCATTTGCATTACACTACACAATATTGTTATTTTATTTTCGCAGATTATAATTTTTTTCTGTTCTGTGGTTACATATGAGAATATCAATGGAATGCAATTACAATTACTGCGTATTTGATATAGTAAAATACGAGATATTTAATACTAACACACCTATGAGGTTTGAGAAGTAAGAGTGATGCTGGTATATATTCAGCATTTCCAAATGATGTTATTGATCTTGAGCCATGGGATTCCTCAATACTTTTTTCAGGGCTCTATATTGGAGAATTAAAGCATTAGTAAGAATTAAGAAGTATAACAGTGTTTCTCTGCAATCTATAGCTACCTAGGTAATGACAGAGAGAACGAAGTAGCTTTAAAAGATTTGAATGCAAAGTAAATTTGTAAGTATATAAATAGGCAATAAGATAATAAAAAAGAGTAACAAATAGTCGATTTGTATTCTTACATCTAAGAACATGGAAATGTTCATATCCTCTTCATCCTCATCGTCCTCTCCAGCGTCGTAAGTCATTGGATATGATTGAACCTGTTCATATTACGTGTATAGATAATTATTTTTCAATACATGAATAATAAAAGTAATGGTACTTTGTACAAAATCACTGTTTCACCTATTTCAGGCACCAATCCGCTCGTTTTGTTTGATGTGTTTCGGATGAAGGATTAGTTAAGGCAGTTGAATTACAGGGTAAGGACGCATAACTAAGATGTTAAATGCCTCCGAAATTGCAACGTATCAGGGTTACCACGTGCATGATAACTTGATGGCCGTGGTGCTGTTCATTTATAACGATGTCGGTTACTACTTGTCATAAGGTATGCTTTACATAATATAATATATAATTCCTCGTATTATCCTGCTTCTATCCTTTACGTGATATCGGGGTTTGTAATAGTAGTAAGAGTTACATAATTATAACAAATACCAAATAATACAAAATATACCTCTAGGCTCGTTCGTTCTGACATTACCGTCGGCAGTACATAATCTTTAATAGCAGTATCTACAGAATATTTAACTTTTCTAAAAACTGATGGATAGTTCTGAAAAATTGTACTTGATTTTAATTTTTAAATGAAATATCTAATAATATCGTAAATATATACTATAGATAGAATAACATTATTAATCACATTGCTTTCTGTACCCTATTTAACGGCACTAAATTACCTCCATTTTAATATATTTTATAGGAAATACACTATAAACTCATATCAGTAGCTGAAGCAGAAGTACTATACATATATGTAACGTACTGTACGTTATTTTTATACTAGTAACAAAATTAAGACTTCTTCCTGCCTACGTGTCCTCTAACCCTGTCACATATTGGGTCGGTCTTTGCACCTTCACTCTGAGGGATACAACATTAGTTTTAATATATAATAATAATTTTCTTTAATAATTCAATTGCAAATACATACTTTTAAAAGTGAATAAAATTCACGACCCTGTATGCACAGCAAGTCGATGTTTCGAGATGCTACGACGTTTGACATCGTTAAATATTTAAATGCGCCTCTAATGTTACCAAATATGCCTCCTGGACCCATACATGCTTCAACTTCATTATTATCTGAAACTATATCCACCTACACGAACAAATAAAAACATGTTTACTCAGGCAACATAGCTATATGCATACATATTACAGCCTTTGGGCTAAAATGCGAATTATAGTGTGAAATGGAATAAGTGAATCAGTAATGTGAGATGAACTGCTAAAAGACACGCTTCAGAGTAAAAATGTATATTGTATTAATAGAAACACAGAAAAAAATTAGAAAAAAGACAAAGAAAGAAAATCTAAGAAAGTTGCTTTCGATAACATATCTATCCTTAAAAGCAAACAGCCTGTATTTGACGCAATCGAATATAAATCAAAACTAAATTGTAAAATATAAAGGTAAATTTACATTTGCATATTTTTCAAATTCAAATTCAAAACATCTTTATTCATGTACCTTCTTCATCTTTATTCATCTACCGTCAGTTCGGAATGATATCGAGATGAGAAGAACTGACAAGAAACTCAGCTCCTATTTTTTTCAAATAATAGTGGAACATGTTTATAATAATACATAGTCATTAAAATTAAAATTTGGGAGAATAGAGTGACCCCCAGCATATGCTATCGCAAAGAACAAAAAATTTAATCACTGTTCACAACCTGAACAGATTAAATTCTGAATAGACCGTACATTGAAGAATATTGTTTAACAATTATTTCATTTTGGTAAGTTAGTTGAAATTGAATTCGATTAGATTGCTTCAAAGTTATCTTAGTAGATATGCACCATATTAATGATTAGATATTTGTTTATAGTTAATTTTTACATATATTTATGAATAATCGTAAAAACATACCTATATTGAATAAAAATCTATAGATATTAGGATTAGTTACAGTGAAGACATTATCTCACCTTACCACGGTATATAATATACATCATGCTTACAACTTCGTTGGATCTCATTACCATGTACCCTTTTTGAAAGTACTGTTCCCTTAATTTTTTTGCGAATGCTCTAAAGAAGGAATACTCCACATCTTCGAATAGAGGTATTTCTCTTAAGGTCTTTTCATACATATACAATACAGCGTCTTCGTTTAAATTTGCATGCAATTTTCCCAGTATGGATTGGTGCTAAGGATGAGAATGCGTGGGCAATGTGAGTCATGGCCTCAATTAATATGTTTCAATATGATTGATCCTTGTTAACAAAGGCCGAGGAATCTATTGTATTTATTAGAAGAATATGTAGTGAAAAATAGGGCTATTATTTATTAAAAAGTCATCATGTTTATATATTATTATAAAAGTTTGAAAAAATCTAGTCTAATCTACGTTAATTTCATATTTTGTAACAGTTAGAGATTTCAGTAAATAATTGGAATTAATTTTTGAAATTATAAATAACGCATTAATAAAAAATGAGGTGTATCCATTTTTAAAAATATATAAATTCCAAAGTGGATATTTAAAGTTTTGAAAATGGAAGCATATTCTTATCTTTACGCCGATTAAAATAAGTATTTTTATTTAATAAACTAAAACTTAAATAACACTGTTAGTTAATTAGTTTGTGATAGGTATTGTAAACTAAATTAATATAGGTAGTCTTACCGACCATCCACCAGTTCTTTTCCACTGATATTTCCAATATTCAAGCACCATTTTCTTTAACAACAATGCAACTTTTTCTCTGTTCAAGAAAAGTTCTAAGTGTTTAAGATTTTCTTGAAATTTCGTCACTACTTGATCAGCCACAGCTTTTAGTGAGGCTATTTTTGCGTATACGTATCTGTCAGTAACACATGGTAATGATATTATATAAGTATGGAATTGTACATTAAAAATGACTCTAGTCCCTACTGTAATATAGTAATAATACTGTAATATATATAATCTGCGCCATATGTTCAGTCCACGCTGATTTAGAACAGCTAGGTTTTTGTGTAATGTGAGCGATCAGATGAATTTCTGGACATATCATTGATATGATTAGAGATCACGAAAGTAAAGAAGAGCTTCAAAACTAGTTAAATAAGCTAATTTATTAAAAATTAAAAAATCATGTAGGTCATTTTGGCCGCTTATGAACGTAATTTTTTTTATATTATAATTTTTTTCCTACCGTCCAGTTCAAGTAGTTAGCTATAGGATCCATTATTAACGAGGCTGACTTTGTACAAAATGATTTGTGTACATCTGTGTCACCTCATACACATATATTTATATAAGCAACCGTTTACCATCAGGTGGGCCGTCACCTTGTTTTCCATTCTAGTTGCATTAAAAAGTGCGATTATTATTCAATAAAAAATATATTTGGTTATTTTTGTTATGCAAGATAACATAAATTTACGTTACCCAAAAAATAAAACGCCATGTATGTTGATACAAATTGACAAGAGCATGTGGGTGGTGTCTTGGGCAGTTACATCACCAAATCCGGCCCCACTAAAGCTTGTGGCCGACCAATAATAAGCTAACAGGTATACTTTTATTGGAGATAGATATTCGTCTTTTAGAATACTGGCCCTGTCTATCCAGGATCCTTAAATTATGAAAATTTATAATTAAAAATAAATATCTAAAACCATAGACATGATAAATCTATTTACAAACTGACTAAGGTTTTATATTATATTAAAAAAAACCAGAAACACAAATCGGCACTTTTATTCTTATTAATTTGCTAATAATATTTAGCAATTAATTAATTAATTCACCTCGCTGACATATCATATTCCCATCAGGGTGGTACGTAGAATTAATGTAGGGTCCTTCTAAAGATAAACTAGATATTCTTCGAGTAAAGTCATGAGAATCAGAAGCCACTATATATCTACATGAGATCCTTATTAATATTGAAGCGTATAGATTTAAAAAGAACAATGACAATAAAAGAAATTGAACTACGCTCATCAAATACGCCTGTAAGAAAGAAAATTGTTTAGAACACTTAATAAATAGTAATTTCATAATGGAAATATATTAATAAAAAAATATAAATTTGTATAAAAACTGTCGGCTTCGCACGGGTATTTAATAAAATTTTAACACATATACATACGTAGATCGCTGTAGTACATCCCTTTGCTCTACGGTCTAGGATTCCAGCAGTGTACTTGAAATATTTTTTGGTATTTTTGTTTACGCATTGGGTCACTTTATCGCTTTCATACGGATCCCTAAAGCTTATGAAAAAACCTCCCTATTTTCATCAGGGATAATGTAGGCTTAATTGTAAAAAAAATTGACATTGGTCCAGTAGTTTCGGAGCCTGTTCAATGCAAACAAACGATCAAAACTTTCCTTTTTATCTATATATCAATATACCTATATCTATATGTTATTAGTTTAAATAAAAAAATACAATGTTTTCATATAATGTTCAAATACTTCATTCAAATGATTCTACAAATTAAAAGTGATATGAAAATAAATAAGAAGAAACACAAGATTTCAACTTGATTGTAACATTAGTTTAAGAATATGATACGAAAGGTACCCTTCTTAAAGCACCGATAGATTCCGCCCAAAAAGCAGAGTAAAGTTTGTAAATTTGCAAAACATTAATCATCCGAAATATACAATGATAAATGTGTGGATTAATTTCATGTTCCTCGTATACATGATCTTCGTTGTGTTTTGGTACGAATAACATCAATGACGCGTACCAGGGTAGACAAGTGAGGAAATCCAGTATAAATGGACCCTGTAAAATAAAATAAAATATTATTAATGAAGTGTAGGTAGATTGACTTGATAATTAGTAAGTTATTACTAACCTTGAGATAGTTTATTGCTGTCAAATAAGGATGGTAAATGAGTTGGTTTTTAGAACCGTAAAAAGCAACGTGAAGCATCAAATAAACGTCGATATAACAGATTGACTCTAAAACTAATATGGTAGTATTGAACATGCCATATAGAGGTGCCATAGAAATAACAATCTAGAAGTAATATTCATTATTAAACATAGATGATACCAATTTCAAACAATAATTCTTTAAGTGAATAAGTGTTGTATTACCGGTACTAATAAGCAAAGTAAATATGCAGTGATAACTCGAATGATGGCCCACGTTTTTAAAAATAGACCATCCGGCTTTATGGCTCCTGGCATCAACAAATATGGAGCAATATTGTTCAGTATTTTGAATTGGTTGTATGATTTCCAGTAACTTTCTTTTCTTGTTTTATAGTACTTCAAGACATTAATGAAGGAATCTGAAGAAATAATTATTATATATTCCTAAATTATATAAGTTAGTACATGATGCAATTAATGATCCCTTAAAACTGCCTTGGCGTGGAGACAAATCGTTAATATTTCAATTGTTAATTTGTAGTATCTTTTACCCTGGTAATAAATAAGTTCTCCAATGATTTCGAATCTATTGTAAACTATTACATTATTGTAATAGTTTACAATGTGTAATCATTGTTTTTACCGTACATAATACAGGACATTTTAGATTACACAAATTATGAAAATGCTTACCATTTATAAAACTTTGCAATACGTTGGTTATTTTCACCCGTTCTCTTTTCATTGTTAGTTTATTGTAATCTTTCAAGTATGTTCCTGTATTTTGAGATTTAGCTTGGTCTTGTATTTTATTTAGTTCTTCCGATGATAATAGATTTTCGTGTTCTTTCATATCGGGAAAGAGACTTAGTGCTGATGTATAAGCAGAGTGGCTTATGCATATCAACTGCAATAAAATTCTCGTTAAGTTTTATTAAACATTATATCTATATGATGTTGATAATTTATATTTATTAAATTTTTAATATTTACCTTGCAATGTGTCAAAGTAATGACAGTGCTAACAGCAGGTACCCCATAAAGTAGCACAAGTAATCCTAAATGATTGCCGGGTCCAATGATACGTTCTTTTTTTGCTTCTCTCATGTCATTGGAAGTCATTATACAGTACCCACATTCTACAATATATAGTTCTCTATTCACTGTACCACCGTAGTACACAATTTCTCCAGGTGGGAGTATGATATCTGTTGCAGCTAATGAAATGAACGCAGTTCTATAAGTACATAAGCAGAAACGGAATCTGACTTTGATTTGAATTCTTATAATAATTAATATAAATCTGATGGATCATTCCTGAGAAATGTAAGAAAATTCATGCAGACATTTGACATTTTTCGATTTTAATAATCTAATTAATATGTAACTTTTAATCTTTTTTATGTTTTGATTATTAGAAATTAGCCGGTGAAATATTTTCGTTCAGACACCCACTACTGACGCCCATATATTACTCCTTATACGTAAACTTATACCGCGATCTTTAAAAAGTTTATAATTTATTATAAGTTTTTTCAGTGTTCATTCATGTTCGTTATAAGTCACCTCTACCAATGCGACCAATTAAGTATATTATATGATTGAACATTTTTTAAGACATATATAAAGTTTCGGTAAATAATATATGATGTAGCAGCGTGTAAATAGCCACTATATGCGAGACCTTAACCGGTCCTACTGGACGTTCTTTCACAAACTCGTATAGTCTCTGGCTGATTGGCAATAGATACCCATAAAATAACGGTAACCACTGATCAGCATTCCGTTCCAGAGTATTGCTAAAGAAAAAAGCGTACACCGAGTCCAAGAGGGCGGAGGGTCTAACTATATCGTGTGTAGATACAAAATTAAATAAAATTTATTTATTGCAGAAAAGTGAACTATATGTTTGTTCTGATGATAATGTATTATTAATAATAACAAAAGATGATATATTACGTATATTTCTTATTTAATTAAAAACAAAGTTTACTTTACTAACGGCCAGTTATACATATGTATAATACATACACGTATGTTGTATTATTCCAGTGAGCACTTGAACCAAAGTACTTATCTAATATGTGGTCGATTTATATTAAGCTAAACTAAGTAAGCTATTTATACAGTATGTGGCAGATAACTTACATAATATCTAAGCTACCTAACCAGAATAAAATTATTATGTATCTTACTTTCAGTTAAAGTTTGAATATAAGCCTTATTTTTCACTTGGAAAAATCTTATGGCAGTAAGAGCTTTGAACCGTGCTTGATGTAACACTTTCTTTCGTAACTCTGAAGGTACGACAGTATTTTCTAGCCAGTTTTCGTCAGTTAACTCGACTCCCTAGAATAAAATAAGATAAAATTAAAACAACTTAAATTATCAGTTATATTCTGTTCGGATATTTGTTGTATAGTTATTTAATAATATATAAAATATAGGTAATACTTGCCGAATTATATTGCCATTGTAATTCATAAAAAGCCATTATTCTGGATCTTATTGCTGAATGCATTTTATTCTCTTCCATGAACCTGTCTATGGTTATTATTACTTCTAGAAAAGCTGTCTTTGTTCTGATAAGATAAAAAATAAGGATAGAAAATGACCTGCAGATACTTTAGTAATTTACCAAGCTATAGCTTTAAATTACTGTTCGAAATAAAATTACATGCACATATAAATGATATTTTTTTTATTGTCTTTAGTTGACGAGTCGTGAGGATTTTTTATAACTGCCCAAATTCTCAGTAGTTTTTATGTCGTGGAAGTCTTACCTTGACCAATGAGTAACGACTGCCGAAAATTCCGATATACAATAACCAGTCAGCAGTACTCCATAAAGACTTAGGAATGCTACAAACCCCATATCATACTGATCTCCTGGGATATAGTCTCCATAACCGACAGACAATAAAGTAGTGGTAGCAAAATATATAGACGTAATAATTGGATATTGTGTTCTGCGAAAAAAAATTAAACTGGAAGTGTGCTCTTGTAGTGACTTTAGATCGATAGATACATCACTTATTTAAATGTTACCAATCACAAACATTTATGCTTTTTTAAATATAGACAAAACATACTTCTTCATAAGATCAACAAGTTTGTGTCATTATGCGTGAATCACAGCAATGCAAAATGATCGTGAGGTAATCAAAAGTTTGTTTGGAAACAAGAGAAAAAAAGGGCAATAAAAATATTTATTTGCTAATTATCGTATAATATGTTTTGATGTACCTAATTATATTATAATATTTTTATGTAATTGATATGGCAAACAAACAGATGCACCACTAACGTAAGTGGTAACCGTCTCTTCATATGTAGGACAGTACGTTATCTTATGACGACCGTGGTAGGTACTTCTCATGCGTTGTCATTCTGGAGGACTACGATGGCATACCCCCGTATCCTGTAATTGCATTACCTTATCTCATCATTGTACTAAAAACACATCGCACAAAATTTGCTGCTTGGAGGCTGAAATAGGTAAAATAGACGTACCCACACAGGTTAATTTAGCATAATAATACTGTTTGAACATACTTGCTAGTTGTAACACCAGTTATTTCATTTTCCCAAGTTAATGCTCTACTAAACCACGAATTTTCTGAGCATCGGCTTACAAAACATGCCTCCATGTATAAAATCACACCACACCAGTAACACAAAAGGCATATATAAACACAGTATTTTGAAATCTAAAATGTGATGTATACCTTAGAAGTTAAATCTATATGTAATTATAGGATAAACCTATATTAATAAAGGTCAAATATTAAAGAAAAATAATCTTTTAGCATGAGGACCACTTTGTTTAAAAATATCATATCTCCACGTACATAAAGTACCTACATATTTACTTTATAAGATCTAATCAATTTTATAAAGTTTTACCTTGACTATAAGTGTGTTCAGCAATAGTTTTCGTTCAAGATTTTCAAAAAAGTTTGACAATCTCCACACAAGACACAGTTTGACTCCTTTACACAAGTAGAATAAATGATCCATGTAATTATCGTGGTAATTTACTGTTCTACGTATTGTTACGATGTATTCAAATGGTATTATTGCTATAAGATCCAGGTAGAATCCTAAAGTATCCATTCTGTACTGCAGAATAAGCCGAAAGTTATTCAAATAAGTCTTTTTCGTTCTGATCGCAGTTATACAAGACATTAAAATATTAAATATCAAAGATATAATTATAACAATCTGAGTATAGAAGAAAAGGCCATCCTCAGGAAATTTTCTTCTAATTCCTATATAATAGGGATAGACCAAGCAAATGTAAGACACAATCATAAGCATATAGTGTTCCCAGTAGTATACCAAATAGCAATTCCATTCTAAAATCCATGGGAAATTTGAGTTTAGACATGTAAACATCAAGGTATTCTTTTTTATATGTTCCGATAATATGTATAGATCCAAACAATTCTCGTCTAGCTCATCATTCTTTGTTATGTCTACATCTGTTGTACCTGCAATTAAAACAAAAAATATAATTTCTGTTATATATTAATTTGAACAATATAAAAATATGTGTGTGTGTGATTACCTTGAATATACCTTAATTTATCTTTTAAACATTTGATGCTGCTCCTTTTTCGTTCTTTGGAGGCGTATATATTTAAGGTCAACGGAGTATAAAAGTTCTGTTTTTGTTTTCTGCGTCGACATCGCGTTATACGTTCCTGTAATTCTTTTCTTATGTTATCCACTACGTCAGGGTAAGTAATCATAAGCTTTATGAAGTTGGTCTTGTTCAAAACTTGACACTCCACATAAGTAGCTGCCTTTACAGTACATCTTGCTACAATTGTAACACGTTGTTTATGTTATTTATTTATACATTTATATACACGTTTTATATAGAAGTGTTTAGTATTTATGAGCTTTACAATATTATGATTTATTTTTAGAAATGTATTTGCCAGAACTTGGTAATTTTCAAATTATTGTTTTAGAATTATCATACAACTTAATTTTGTTTTAACCTGAAGTTGTTTACTTTATGGAGAAATTATGAATTTACATAAGGTCTCAGATGATACTTATTAACAATTAAGTATAAATAAAGTTGATGAAGTCCACGCCGGATTCGCACGCCCCGGAACAAGTGACATATTAATCTTTTATTATATTTACGTAACTTTTTTGAGTATTGAGTATGGAGGCGGAGTTAACTATGGAGTAATAAATTTAGATAAAAAGAAGTAGATGCTTATATGGTTTTGGATTTCCAAGTTTTAGGCTAAAAAGTCGTTAATTGTCACGTTAATCCAATATATCAGATACAAGACCACCATTGTTTATCGGTGTACTGGTTGGTAAATGTCATTGATAATTGCGTAAGAATTATCGGTGTATGTAATGGATATGGGATTGCTTTAGGTACAAGTTTTGTAATAAAAATGGAGATTATAGTTTATTACTTTTAGCATGTAATATTCTCTTATCTGTGCTTTTGGGAATGCCTATAACCGATGTTACGGTCAAAGGTCACAAGGATGTTCGTCCGCTACGTAATGCAAACTTGAAAACGCACCTGGTATGTTGTAAACCAATGCTATCTCACCAAAGCAGGTTCCCTTGGAAAATGAAATCATTGGACTTTCATCATCTTCATCTGATAATAATTCTAAAACGCCATTAGTGATACATACCTAAAGGAGAAGATCTCTATAGCTCTATTTTTATTTTATACTTGAGAAGATTACTTATTACTCGTATTATCTTTTTTTAATGATAATTTTAGTATATACCTAATATGTAAAATTTTCTGTAATAACGCATATGAATAATAACATATGTTTGTTTAGGAATTATCTACATTATTTTTTAATATACTTATATTATTGCGAACTTTTACATGAGTAGCTACCTCAAGTATTAAAAAGCAAAACGAAAAATTTTGAGAACTTGATTATCATTTTGCTTATTAAGATAATAGAAAATTGTCAAAGTTTTAACATAATAGACTGAAGCAAGAAGCAAATGACACTAGATACTCTTATAAAGACTAAATTTTGTTGTGTTTTGAGACTGTTATACTCATATATGTATAGTAAATGGAAATAAACACTATTAAAACAAGAATATACAAATGGTACATTACCATAATAGTCTTGTTATGATTATGATTGTAGACAATATCACCAGGTAGGTAAAACTGATGACTCATATCCAGAGACAGTCTTCTAAGGAACGCCTCAGGAAGCTTTCTGAATATTAAAGAGCTGTACAGCGGTACTGCGTTCAAGTCGTAACAGATTTCCATTTGCAGTGGACTCGGTAGTAACTTCAACAGTTTTGGTTGGAAAACGCCTGACTTTTGATACCACAAGTCTTCGTAATATCTTGAGTATAAATAAATAAAATAAGTAAATATAAAACTAAATAGTAGATACTTTTAATTTATAACAAAAGGTTCCGTCACACAATGATTAGGAGAAATGTTTTATTTATTTTTACATATTTGTTGAAATAACTCACACAAGCTTGACAATACTTAGGTGTATATATAATCTTACATATCCAGTTAATATAATTCTAATAATGTAGTTTCGTAGTAGTCTCTTGCGCAAAATACGCAATTTAAAATATCTACTGAGACATATCAGAAGTACGTAATTGAATCGTTTTAATAGAAAGTTTAAAAAAAAACAAGAAAAGAAAGCCTAGGTACTATTTATTGAAGAAATATCTGCTGTAAAATTTACCGATATAGTAGGCACAGATGTTATTAGTTATAGGTAGATAGAAGCTAATGATATTCAGAGACTCCAATAGGTATGGTTATACGAACAAAATAATATATAAAAAAATATATAATGAGTATGATATATATATATGTATGTATATACCGAATATAATATATGTATATGTTCAGGTATACCTTATAATCCGTCGTGTTGTATCTTTATCCATTTTGATTAATTCTAAATAATTTTGAATTTTCTGCATTTGTCTCACATACTTAGCACGTCTCGTTGTTATAGTTATGAATAAAGATGTTAAAGATCCCACGAATACAATCGTCGTTAGCAAGAACCCCAATAAAATAGCTAAGATAGCTGTAACGCGTTCCATAGTTGTTACTGGGTATAAATCTCCAAGTGCATTTGTTGTGAGAAACATAACCGACCAATATGCGCAAACGAAGTACCAATCAAAGGTGACTTCTGTTGGGAGATAAATTGCAGCGGTTGACCACGAGGAGTGAATTTCATGTATATCAAAACTTCTATATGAAAACAGATACCATACGCAAGTCCATGTATGAACAGACAACAGAAATAATATAAGATACTGAAATAGAAACGTGGTCCACTGGTTGCTACCTGCTTCCGATGATTTATTGTAAAAATATTCTATGATTCTGTAAACACGTATTGTTGCCATGATGGGTGCAATTGAAATAATGTCAAAATATGAAGTTTCATAAGTTAATAAGTACAAAAATGTGTATGGCATAGCGAGTATAACATCCAAAGTTACACGAATCGTTTCTGGTTCCACTAAATTTAATGTTTTTCTCCATCTCTTGAAGAATTTCAAACCAAAAATGATGACTACGTCTAAAGTAAATATAAAGTTTAAACATAACATAACCGCAACAATCCATAATGGTCTCTCTTTTTGCTCGTAAAATGTATATATGCATGTATCCAAGATATATTCCGTGAAGATGATTGTAAGAATGAATACTTTCCATAGAGGATCGGAGTATATTAATAGAATTGAACGCAGTTTGCTCCTAGTAAATTCAGTTCTGGTTTCTTGTAATATGGCGAAGGTTTTCTGTTTCTTCTCTTCGTTTATTTCGTACTGTATATTAGTGAATATATCTGGACGGCGATTAACAATAGAAGGGATCGTAGAAAAATTGTTCCTATCTGATCGACGCCTATACTTGTACACATCTAACTTTGATCCTTTATCATCTAAAAATTTACTTCAATGTTAATAATACAAAATTAGTTAATAGTTAAGACTAGATGGTTATTAATAAAAAGATTTTAATTAAAATTATTGATGAATTACCCATTTTGTTGAACAAATGCACACGGAAATAACTTTTTTTTAAACATAGCGTATTTAGTGCTTGAAGTAATTAAAAATAATTAGTATTTGTTGTCACATACTCTTGAATGAAATGTTATTTTGAAATATACTCATATATAGGTAACATATTAATCTATATTATTGTTTAGTTACAGCTCAAGTCTAGAATATTACAGGTAACTGTTAGTATTGATGACTGTATAGGTAATTTGGTTCCTATATTTGGTACCTCGTATAAATCATGACACAACCAAAATCCTTAATATCAATAACAAAGAATACTTACTCTATTAACTTAACGACAATGTTAAATCATTAAAAAGTGTAACTACCAAAAAGATTAACGTGCCATTTAAATTGATTAAATGGTGTCCATCTCTGTGATGTCGTAAATGTCTATAGGCAACGGTCTCCATTATCCATTAGGCGAGCCAGCTATTTGTTTTCTATTCCCAGTAGCATATTATCTAACAAGTACCTAGTTATATTTGGCGACGAGATTAATCTGGGGCTAACACGGAAGTAAACACAGTCGATTACATAAAGAATTATCAAAATCCGTCTAGACAGAAATCGCATAACATATAGGTAACATAAAAAATATGGTCGAATTGAAAACCTGAGGTTCATTGAAATAGCTCTTTCTTTAGGTTAAATAAAAAAAATAAGAATACTTACGTAATAAATTACACAGTATAGATAATAATAGTATTATTATTCTCGATGATTTTCTGTATACATTAGGTAGATAAACTACAATTGTATAAGTTCTTAATAATTGCCTCGGCTTCGCACGAGTGTAGGTACATGTATTAGGTATACATATAACTTTTCTCTTTAATTGCTAAAAAGTGCATTAAAATCCGTTACGTAGTTTATAAGATTTAAGCGAACAGACAACGGTAGTGACTTACCTACCTAGCGACTCATTTTATACCATGTAAACCATCATGTACTATTAATAGTAATAGATAAGTACCTAATATATTTATTGTATGTTACTTGCCTATGACTATAGAATGGGCTCATCCCTATGGAATTTCTCATATTAGTTTTCTACTAATCTAGTTGGCCGCAATAAAATATACGTTATGGACATTAATCTAGTATGAAAGCTTCCAAGATTATAAAGCACGTTACTAGTAAATATACTGGCTGTAGCTGTATCTATTAAATATACCTACATATTTACAACACTATACTTGTAGTGTAAGTATATGCACTTGCAACTGTAATGCAATGATTTCTTATTTTTTAATTTAAGAAATATTCACGGGTGAGATTATCAATATTAGTTACGACTAATTGGACAGAATCGTACATAATCTGTAAAAATTATTTATTAATACATTAATTTTATACAAGTGCCAATTGAAAAATTTAATAGAAATGTGATTAGAAATTTATGAGCAAAGGAGACCTAAAACAAATGGTCGCTAATGATTTTTCAGTGCAAAAACGATGTAAAAGGGAGCACAGCATTAAGGTAATCGTATAACATACAAAATAAATACACTGGAATTTAGAACTCTCTGGAGGTGGATCAAAAATAAAACTCTATGCTGTGTGACATAATTGTGAAAGTTCGAAAACAATAAATTTAATTTAATTTATGCGCAATCATTATATAAAAAATAATAATGTACATATCATACAAGGAAATAATTATATAAGGTGCCCGTCTCTTGTTAGATGGGCGTTTCTCGTCATCAAATAGCGAAGCCAAATTCGTTGTAGAAATTTTGTGCAAAACAGCCATTGGTGGTTAGGTGACGCAATGTTTTCCTCTCCACCAACATGTAGGTAGCACGGAGATCTAACTAGACGGGCTGCGCACGGCACTCCAACCTACATACATGAACATAAAAATTGTGGACACCACGTTTTCATATTGTTTAAGTCCACGGAAAATTTTGAGTAGTTTCTACCGACAACTAAAGGAAAGAGTTAAGGAATTATATTTTCGTGAAAATAATGAATTTGTACGATTCCTCTTGGCATCGATTGGGTTTACCCCTGTATTAGTCTCAATAAGTAATATAAAAAATCTGCAAGAATCCTACTTGTATGCCTATCTATTATTGGGGGGAGAACACCTTAATATGTCAAGATGTATTTGTAGAAACATAGCCTATAATATACAAACAGTACGAAAAAAACTGCTGCAATTTATAACTTGGTTATATAGGATGAGACTGATGAAAAAAATCTTACATTGTTGATTCGTATTTCAATTTTCGTAACGTTTGATAATTAAAGTCTTAGCGAGCTTCCATACTAGGAGCGGTCGCATAATCACTATGCTTTTATGGAAGTATGAGCCATGTATCAGTTAAAAATGTCGTCATAAAATGACTTTAAACACCTTTAGCATTTCGCAGGATTTGTTTAAAATGGTCTCTGCCTCTGATATTTAACGCTGACATTTAATACTTACGAATAAATATCTACGTATAAAATAAAGATATTATTATTATGTTAACAACTTTAGTGAATTGATAGACAGGAGATTATTGTTTGAGAGACTTATTGTTTTCTCCTGTTTCTCTACTGTTTATTTAATTACCGATGCATTACGCTTTCATATAGAAGCAATGTAGAAAAGGCAGTTTAGTGCGGTTTTGAGCCTCACCACGTCTTAAAGGAAATTTTATAAATCTATTCTTAGTGGATGCATAGGTTGTATAATAAAACTAAGTATGTTCTATCTTTTAGTAGTTTTTAATGTCTGTTGATGTTTAGGACAAACGATTTCAGAAGTAGATATAGTTCAGAGCGTCGTGGTCAAATGCTACCTCGTTTGCATCGAAAAGTCGTGAGTTCGAATCTGACTGACTACGAGATCAAAAGTCGAATCTGACTGACTATGAGATCAAAAGTCTTTGTTTCAATTTATATTTCTGAGTAAATTTTCTCCGATGATGAAACCTTCTATAACAAACCAAGTTAATCCTTAATACAGCGTGCACTGATCTTCTGCCACGTTCGATTCGAATATATGTAGATAGGTACTGTGTGAAATATTGAAGAATTAAGTGTCGCGTTCACCACGATGTCAAGAGTTGACAATAGCTCTAATTGCCTCATCTGGAAGAACAGTCGTTAAGGTATATTTTTATTATTGTAAACCTATTTAAAATAATTTTAGAAATTCATGTATTCCATAAAAAAAGGTAATCTAGTAACGACTAGTTACCTTTTTTTATGCTACTATATTTATACTACATACCTATTTGGAATTTTAATTAGTAGGTACCTACCGCACCAAATAAAGAATTGAGTAAACAGTTTGTTTAACATCTCATCTCTTATCTCAGTGTGCTTATGTGCTTATCTGGGAATATGCACATGTATTTTATAATTTTAACACAAAATTTTTGAATGCATTACAACTGCGGTTTCTTATGCGCCACAATAAATCGGCTTCAGTGACGTCACAATATGTGGTTCATGTCACGTGGATCCAATGAAATATCTAGATAGACTGATTGATTCATTTACAACATCCAATTATTTTATATATAGGTCGATATAGATAAAATAAAAACAGTCATTTTTTGTAAATATATTTAGTTTTTAAATTTTAAAATGTGTGGCCGGACCTTATAATACTTAATATTTGTGTTAAGAAGTTTCATTTTATGTTTTTTACCGCCAACTTTACTGATATGCTGAATTAACTTCAGTTTAAATTTGTTGAGTTATAATTGCTGCAATATTATCTATTTTACTTTGAGGATTTGTCTTATACATAGATAAATTAGTTTATACCCAATCCAAATGTGGTCAAACATAAACAAATACCGCCAACATATGTCATAGGTAACAGGTAATCAAATCAAGGTGGGTGTTACCAATAGCCAACAATTCATTGCGACTGCGGAGTTGTATCTACGCTAGATTAAACACCTGTCAAAACAGAAAAAGGTACCTAGGTATGTATATATAACTTTCTTCTCATATTTATGAAAATAGCTTGAACCTCTGAGCAAGTAAGCCAATGAACTAGCGGTTTAGCACACCGCCTTACAGAAACAATCTTCCGATGGTCGCAAGTTCGATTCCGATAGGATGAGTAAGATTGTTTGTATCGGTGTGAACCGCTATTTGGTTAATCAGTTTAAAGTTACCATAGAATTGAAGAAGTATTTGCCATAAGAGACAAAAATGAGCCATAGTTAAGGATGAGAAGAGTCCCCTGTAGGTACATCAATTACGACCATAATAAATTTAATTTCCGAAGTCTTTCCTGATGGAGGCATAACTCAGTATGATTGGAGTTGGTTTCTTATAAATTAATTTAAAGACATTAATAGTAACGCTTGTCACCAATACGAAAATTTACTATAGCTTGTCAAGTATTGGGTTCACCAAAACACTGATGGCTGACAACCCCTCTGACTACTCCATGTATCCATGTAGGATTACAGTCGCGAAGGTGGAATCATTTTATTAATATGAAGACTATTGACATACATAACCTACATATATCTACTATAATATAAAGATTACTCTTACCATAATGTTAGCCAAAATTCAACTAAATTATATCTACTACAGAAATAATTTTGGATTGTTGTTTAAATAAAAAATAGATCCTAAAAAGTATTTAAAAAAAATCGATGTTTTTCTAAAAAAGTATTCAAAAAGAGGAAAATATATATTTTGTATTTTAAATACTATATTTTTAAAATGTCACATCTCTGCATGTTATCTATCATTTGTCGATTGATCAGATTTCCTGTTATAAGAAAACCTATGGAATTAAATGTGTTGAAATAAATAAATAAATGTAGTCACTGACGTTATTTCTCTTCGTTTGTGTCTGTGTTTACACCAAAGCCACTATATTATCTAGATGCCTACGTAATAACGAACTCTTAATTCACTCGAATGTAGAACGTGGAACTGTGTAATCCATTTAATTCGATAGATCAACGAAGAGCATCGGATAGGGGTCAATTATCCATTTATCCTTTTAACAGAATTGATAAAATGAAACTTACTTGGGTGATTTTAATTAATCCAATGTTGTAGTTTAGTTAAGGAAGAATAAGCTGCCGTTGTGAGTTACAATTTTATCGCAATTAAAAACTGTTATCATATATATAATTGTTTTTGAGATAATTACTTAGCGAATAATAAATATCGAATGGTTTATACCAATTAGTGTAATTGTATTTTAATTAATATAATTTGTTTTGGTACTTATTATTAAAAAGTAATAATAATAGCTTTTTATTTCTTCTCCATAAATTACATAATTCCAGTTTCAAATTGTATGTATAGGTAAATGTCTAAAAATATAATTTGTGGATGATTTGGAGTTTATCTTAAACACTATATTGACGAATGAAAACAAAAAGTAATCAAAATTTTGTTCAATAGTCGGTACGCAGAACGTACCAGTTGGGTACCAGTATATTTTATATTTTTTAATACAAAAATAAAATCCAGTTTTCTATGCTTCACTGACAGAATAAATCTAAAATTACAGAAATAATACAAAAAATGTTATTTACGGTACGTTTGTATGAGTACTTAACTAATATATAAAATAGGTTGGAATGTCAATTATGGACTTTATTTTTTCATTCCTAATGTATCTACTTAATGAATGAACATAATTGTTAGTTGTTACTGAATAAAATAGATGGCGACACCAGCGCGGCAATCCTTTGGTGTTGGAGAGAGATATAACGGTTTATATGCAGGTGCGAGTGAGAGAGTTATAGATTATTATTACGCCTACACTGTAGACAGAAGTCGCACGCGCTCACAAAAAATTCATCGACAAGAACGCAAGCGCAACGCTATATTCGCCCACAACTTCACTTCGGTCAACTTCGTCATTAGTGGTGATCGAAACTCCGATGTGTGTGGAAGTGGTTTTAACTTTTCTAACACAGTCTCACAAAATAACAGTAACTAAAGTATAGATTCTTATTCGAAACGTGTTAGATAAACATTTAACGTGTCATAAGTTGTATTAATATTATTCAAAATGTGTGATACTACCAATCCTTCGACACAAAGTATAGCGGACTACTTAGCTCAGTTGCTCAAAGACAGGAAGCAACTGGCTGTGATCCCGAATGTTTTCATGCACATGGAACGACTTCTGGACGAAGGTAGGTAAAAACCATGTTGAACTATTTATAATACGTGTATCGGCAGGCGAGACTTTAGGCTACTATCGCAGATACTTGTCACCACTGAGATCATAAATTGGATGCGTCGACAAATGCTACAACGCACACGATATTAAGTTTATTTTTGTCTTCGCCCCGTCGAGTTATGGTCCAGTGGTGTTTGTAATGCGATCCAACGAAAAGCGAAGTAAAGCAGAACGTCTCTCCGATTACGATTTGCGGTCATCGGTCGTTAGATTGTCGCCGATGAAAGAGATCGGTGAAATGGACGTAAACGGGTTTGGTGTTAAACATTTCGCCGCCGCAGCTGTTGTAAATAAGATATAAATCTTTATTATGCTAGTTTGAGGTTATAATTCTATAACCAGGTCATCGAATGAAGGATCAAAAGTCCTAGTAGGTATATGTAACCTGTTCATAAGGGCCGTCACCGTACCTACACTGCGAGTTAGTGGAATGTCGCCATTTAGTATAGGTAGGTAGCCCGAACCGTACAGTTTCGAGTCATACGAGATTTGTACGCAGTGTGGCGCAGGCGCACCGCTCCTTGCCGTAGCCTCGTTTTATTGCCACTAACCAGTTCGACTATACTATGATGCCCTTATCGTAGCCACTGAATGCCTACCGACTGGACTGACTTACGATTGATATTGCTTGAAATTGTCATTGTCAAACTAATTAGTCAGGTTTAAGTTAAAAACTGATTAGAATTCAATACCGTTCTTTGTATTCAAGTACTACCTGCCTAAATTTCTTATTCATTTGCACTATGAATTTTTGATTCTAAATTAAATTGATCTCAATTATGTTACAGAAAATGCTGATGCCTACTTCCATTTATATTTATTAATGTCTATCGATAAAATCTGTAACTTAACGAAATAAATGTGATATTTAAATGAAATATTGCATTGCATTGTAGCATGCTGAAACATATTTAAATAAATTGTTTTAAATTTGACGCGGTCCCGAAATATCGGGAACTCAGCAAATAAATATAAAACATGGTAAGATCCCGTGATTTTTACTAATTATACCTACTTAAATAAACTTTCAATACTTAATTATATATATATACTTACTAGAAATAAAAAAAATCACTGGATATAATTTTGTATATACATTGAAACAATAAAAATTAGTACGAATGGTAGTTCCGTAGAAATTAATTTAATAAATATCTCAGTACCTACTAAGTAGTACCTAGTGCGTGTAGGTACCAAATATGTCAAAATATACGTGCAATAAAATATGTATATTAATATGAAATACTTTTCTATGTAATATTACAATATATTTTATATCTCTGGGTAAATATTTTCTGTCTATATGTATTATTAGTTCCATATAAAGGTAGTAATTACAATCTACCTAACTGTGAAGGGAGAAGAATACGGACCGGTTATATCAAGCATATTAAATGACTCAGAAACATTTATGAGCAACATTGTTTTTAAAATTTATAGACTTGTTATTAGTAAATATAAAATGTCAAAAATCTAGTATAAGTCTAATTCATGCTAAAATTATATATATACAAAATGTGCGTGTCGCTTTTTTACCTTATCACGACCAAACGGCTCTATGGATCTTCATGGAATTTGACGTCAACATATCATATATTATCACGAGGATATAATCTATATTTTATCTCAAAAGAAAAAGAGTAGTAGACTAAGCAAATGAGCTCACGGGTAATGGCTATTTTGCTATAACTGTGACTATATTTTGCTATAGTTTTAACTGGCTACGTAAAACGGAAATGCTGTTTATCTTACCATTTCTTGTAAACGTATTGTTTTAGTTTTATCTTATTTACTAGTAAAGATAAAAATCTTGGAGCATTTGCGAATATATGTAACATCTGTTTAACGCCACAGTAAAAGTCATAGTAGGCAGTGTTAAGTATATAAAATTCATTAATCACACAGGTCACGTTTTCTGATGAAACAAGGTCTATTGAGCCGAGACTTCTAACTTGTCACATTGTCACCGTTGTATTGATTTACTGCTTAGTTTTAGTAGTTTATATAATAAAATTGTATAACATGAATTTTGACCTTTGATTAATTATATCATCATACTATTGAGATACAATAATAAAATACACGTAAAGATTGAAAAACGTGATTTTTTACATGCTTGGCAGTAAGTTTTCTTAATAAAATACCAAAGACGATGATAGGTACTAGCAAAGCTGACGTTATTTTGTATTACCATATACGTTGCCATATGTCCTCATGTTCGCGTTGGTCTCATGCTGTCCAATGTTTACTCGTATTTAAATGAGCACTTACGAAACGTGTCAGTAGCACACGAATCTAATATGATTGGTCTCGGTCCATAGTCGTCAGAAGTACTTCTTATGGAAAGAACTGTCATTTCAATATTAAGTAATATAGTATTTTTACGGTAGACCTTCAGTTTGGATACATATTGCATAAACATGATGATAAAAAATTACTGACTATCACTTGATATGTGCACTCAACTAAATACATACGAGCCGCTGATTACATTCAAATGCACATTTCCCAGGGATGATTAATAATCAACAATTTAACATTTTTTGTTGTAAAAAAACAGAATTGTCTAGAAGATTGACTCATTTCTGTAATTTTGGTATTTAATTGTTTTCGGAATAAAACTGGGTTTGATCATTTCAATGAGTTAAAGCCGATTTCTATCCCAAAATACAGTTGACGTTATTGCTATAATATAGATTAGTTTTATGGTTTATTTGACATGATGTCGGTCGCGTATGAGCTGTAAAAGACTTGACGAAAATATCGACGGCAAGCTGACAGCCGACAGGCGTGGCGTATCGTGTTACGCCGAACTAAGAAATTACGATGGCTATTTTGGATGCTGGAATATTAAGCGCAACAGAGAAACTAAATCGGTTATAATACAAAGAGCTTACTTTTATCAAACCCGAAAAACACCAATTCAAATCTCAGGCCGAAACATTTTGAAACGATGCCAAAGCCAAGACAACTCTTTTATTCGAAACAAGATTTGGAGCTAATCGTCCGACATGTTAACTATTGATTGTGATAAAGGTCGCAGTGTGAATAATTAGTTGTAAAGTTTGTATATTATTGGAGTGTACTTACATGGGGTTGTATTAAGATGTAATGTATGGGCTGACATTTAATAATATTAAATTTTCGATTAACAAAAACAATGTGGTCATGTTTGCATTATATTGAATTGAGCATTTGATTGTTTGCATTCCAAGAAGAGCCGTGAGCGTCAATAGATAACAATGCATTTAACAAAAGTAAACATACAAATTAATCAATCATAACATGTAGTATCGATAAAACATGACTCGAGTATTCAACTACAAGATTAAGTGACATCAATGAAGTATCAATTTGAAATTATATGGGATTAACAACAGAAAAGAAGGCAATGAAATACCAGATTTAGCGATAATTTTTATCAGGGCGTATTACACACTTGACAAGTCGCTTTAAACATTGATAACAGATAAGAACCGAAGAAAGATTTAATAGCCGCTGTAGATACTTAAACTATGGAATAATGTTGCACTCATGAATTTGCAGCACATACAAGCTGGAAATGTTTATATACCATTGTTAATTTTAAGTTTTTTAAAGATAATAAACACAAAGTACCTGTAACATCAAAATAAATAAACGTAAACCTTACAGTATTTCTGCAACAAATTATTTTTCAAATCACATACTTTAAAAGATATAAACGAAAACCCGATTCTCATAGCAAATTTATGCTCTTGTTAATGATTATTACCATAATCATCATCATTTATCACGTTAATAATGAAATCCTTTTACATATTCGCTTATTCGTATAAAACACGTATAACAGTATATGCAAAATCTAATACTTAAAAATGTGTAGATTGTGTTGGTAAACCTCTTTACCCTTTAGTGATTTTAATACTTGTTAGTTTACTAAAAGTTTTTACATAAGCATTACGAATAAACACAAGATGCGAAAGATGCTATGCACCTAGAAAAAGAAAATCTTGTTTGCGGAATATCAGAAATGGCCAGTGCAACTTTCTCGGTTTTCAAGTAAGCAGTAGGAACATTTAAGGAGCTGACTAGGTGATCAATCAACGAAATCAAGAGACATTTATAGAAAACAAAAATATGACAATTATGTACATAATTTCAAATAATCTTTGATATTTCGAGTAAAAGTTATTATAACTAGTATGAATTAGTTATGTAACCTATATATTATTCAGTATTATTCAGTACAAGTACATATATGTAGAATTAGTTAAAGGTGTTATCTGTTGGAATGTTTTTTTAACTACTTGAGTAGAATTTAATCGAATAATTTAAAATAAAGGTTATCTTTATACATTTTAATTATTTCTCGACCTCGTTGATCGTGTTAGAATGAAATTAAGTACTAATAAAATAATAATATTGAAATTATTGCGCTCTGGTGTGTAGGCGCCACCTACCTTTGATGTTCATGGTTCCGCAACCCCGCAGTAAAGTGAGTCTTAGTTGGGTCATTATAAAGTTGCTTAGTTGCGATTAGGTATTTCGCCTACTCGATGACCAAATGAGGGTAGCCGTGGGTAGCGTGGAGGTGTAGAAGCCAAGGCTGCCTCGGTCGCTCTGCAACCCGTTGTAACTCGCTGTGGGTTGTTTAATTAAAATCATTCGATATTAAGTTGTTATGGTTCTCGAATAACATGACTATCAGTGTGACCACTACCTGATTTGGGCTTAGCCGTTATATGATTCATGGTTTTAAAAATAACGTAATTATACGAAGACGAGGTTCTCATATTGAGAAATAATATATCCGTTAACATTCTTCCTTTAACGGCGACGTTGCTTCAGAATACACTCCATAGAGCAAATATTGACACGCGATTTATTATCGTGCTAACCTCGATAAGGCTACACTGCATCTTTAGAAAACTGGATCATACGAGACGACTATTCTTCGAGAGTTCTCACGAC